ATTTTGCATTCCTGGTATCTATCAGCCCCAAGCTGGCCCCAACCAAGCCCAACAGCCTGGCTGTGCAGGGGGCATAAAAGGATCTTCAGCAATTAAAGAAAGTACTTCAACCTGTGTATCCCAGTGTGAATGAAAACCACTGAACCATCCAGTCCCATTCTCATGTTGCACCTGCCGGACCCTTCGATCATTCGCCGTGATGTCGGCATGCTTCGGTACCTCGGCTGCAAGGTGAAAGCAACAGGGACCTTCCGGTATCTGAGCTCATGAATGGTTGGGGCTAGCTTATCTTGCGTGTAGACACATGTTATTTCTCAGTTTCAGGACAACATGCGCACATCCAGCTTTGAGGCTCCGCTCGCCAACTGCCGGTGCCGTAAGTGGATTTCTAGTTAACCTTTTCTCTGGGTTTCCGAAAAATTACCTTATATCAGAGCGTGGATGAGCTGGGGAAGGAGGTCTATAGACCGGTCCATAGACCCCAGACCTGAACTGTAGACTGGTGATGCAATCAAGCCTGTGACTGATCTCCTTCTTGTAGACCTCACTTTGTTCTCGTAGACCTCATCTTATCCTGAGTTTTGTTTGGCGCGTAGACCTCCCCAAATAGGAAAACAATGGCTCATCAGCTTATTTTCCAAGTCCTGCCGCCATTAACTCCCTGCTGGATTTCAACAAGACTATGGCTTTTGTCGAGATTTTTAGCCTTCTCAAGCCGTATATTCAAGCTGTATATTCTCTCCCTTCAGCCACCTGCATAAAGCAGCAGGACCTAAAGTGCATAGTGGCCACCTTCTGCCGGCACCCACACCGGTCTCCGGGGAGGTCTATAGACCACACTATCGACGAGGTCTTTGGGAATGAGATGGTGGTCTGCTGACAGGTCTACGTGTCGGTATCTACCATATTTGGAAGAGGTCTATTGATCTGGTCTATAGACTGGTCTACGAGACCGGTCTATAGACCGCCCTCCCTATGAACAGAATGTTCTCCCATATATGGGGGGCTTCCGCGTGAAACCGGGTTTCTCAATGGAATTATCCTGCAGAACGCATTCCGTAGACCCTGGTTAACGGGACACACTCCGAGTCACTCGACGGAAACCCGATCATGATGATCTCGCGCAAAGTCCAGCCTCCCCAGTGACAGTTACATGTACAACAATGCAGATTACTTCACATAAATCAGTCGTTATCATGATATCGGTAAGTACCAAGATCAGCTGGCCATTGCCACACGGCTTCCGGCTGCGGTCTTCTAAACTATCCGCGCGACGTTTACGTTGTCAACTCGCCGTCGTCCAGTCCCAAATCAAGCAACCTTCTCACCGTGGTGCCAAACCGTGAGGGAAATCGGAACACGACTCTGACTGCTGGTTCGCTGTCAATTCCGGTCTGTGCACTGCTGCCTGCAGGTGAGACCATTCATCCTCAATCTGGATCTATATATGGCTAGGCTTAAGCCATGACCAACAGGTGACGGAATATGCAAGCAGTTTGAGGCGTTCGGAACCAATTCGGAACAGTCACTAATATTTCGTGAAACTTCAAGTTCTGCCATTGAAGTAAGCTGCGAATCATGACCGGCGACCCTCCGGGTCATTTGAGACACACCCAGTTGGTCGCCGACGGCCAGCATTCATTGCCTCCGCGGGCGCTACTACCTACCTGCGCTCAGGGTCACTTCCAAACACCGCCCGTTCGATTCTTCTAGCACCTGTCCATCTCCGACTATAACGTTACAGTCAGTGCTACTCTGTGCTACTGTATGAACAACAACAACAACAACAACAACAACAGCAACCACCACCATCTCTGGCAGCAGGTTGGCGTTCCGACGCAGTCGAGCTTCGGACACTCGACATTCGTCGCTCGTTCATGTCCAGTACCACCCGGGGAAACCCTGGTGAGGTTATTTGTCCAGCACGATCGGCGTCACCGACATCGAAAACACCACTCACCCACACACGCCCCTTGCCGCCCTTTCGACCGCGACCACGCCTCATACGCCCATCTAGACTCTCTGGCGCGTCTGTTGCGCGGCTCCTGTTAATCGGCCCGCGCCTTCGTCACCCGCCGCGCTCGTCGCACGCCGCTTGCGCTCGTTTCAGATTAGCGAAGAAAAAGTCGCCAGGTCGCCAATTTGACATTGCGACAATCTCCGCTACTGTCACGCAGCTCGAAACGCACGCGCAACGCGTTGGTTCTCAGATACAGACGACACAGGCCCTTATCGAAGCTGCACGAAACTACATCCACTTCATTCATCCCGCATCCAGCTCAAATCCACCTCCCCGCCTCCCAAATTCTACCCAGCTCATCAGATCCATCCTCCAGCGTGGACTGGCTTCCCGCACGACCGTCGCGCCGCCGGAGTCCCGCTCTCGAGCCCTCCCGCTGCCCTTCCGTCCCTTTTCTGAGGATGCGATTACATAATTGTCACCTAGCCAGTGATCGCGCTCTTTTTACCACGGTCATTACTCTATTAGATCTAGAAAAGCTGATGGAGTTTTACATGTTCTTCGGGCCGTCGAGGCAGTTTATCTGACCTTAGTGTACTTTGTATGCGGAGGCGGTTTCCTATTAGTAAACAATAGTAAACAAACATATGAATCTTACGACATCTGGGTGTTGTGTTGTATATGGAACTGAAACTTATGATCAGAACGTTCGCCGCGTGGACCCTCTCTGAATTAGTGTTGCTTTCTCGGCCTGTGACTCCTCAGACGCCTCCACCGGAAGCGGCGTCTGATTTACGGCGATTGTTTCGCAGTCTGGCCACCCGCAGGCCGGGCCTTTAAAGATACGGATCTGACCGTGGTATTCGACGCCGCACTCGTCGCATGTGATACATTGCTACTGTAGTTCTCAGCGAGACCTACTAGTGCTTCCTGCGCTGCAATGGTGCATTGAACCAGAAACTTCATATCCTGAGCTGTAAATAGTGCTGCTGTGATACTATGCTTTTGGTCATGGCAGCTTGGGATTCCAAAGCGACGTCTATCAGACCGCATCCGGCGGAGATGCATATCTGTGAGCAAGTGTTCATGTGGTGTTCAAGCTGGGGAGGTGAGCATCAAGTGAGCATGACACCGCATATTAGCCCACGTGCAATTGTCGGGCGCCGAGCGAGTTGCCAACGTGCCAATAATGTCAACATGGATCACCGGTTTCGTAAGATCCACAGCTCGTGCATTTTGTGCGGAAATGTGTAAAGTCAATGAACATATCCCAGAGTGTCCTAGATGATGCCAGCGAGACGGGTGAGTCGCCAAACGTCGTCACAGTTTTCTGTCAGAAGGATGTCGCCAGAACGCCGATACTCTGGGCTGCATTCTCTGCATTACCGCGGTTGTTACGCATTGTCTGCCACACTCACAACTCGGAGAAGGATGATGCCACGAAGATCGTACGTACGTACTCTGGCCGCCTAGGGTTTGCCTCGTTTGGTGCCTCCGAGTCTAACGCGACTCGGACGAAACATTCAACTTGATCGACTTTGCGGTTGTGCGCAGCTCGAGGGGTGCTCAGTGCGCCGCGCCGGCTAATACCCGAGCCAGCGTTCCGTACACGCCGATGGCGCATCACGGATCACGGTCGGGTGCAAGTCGGGTGATACAAGATTGATATTTAATTCCATTGGGAGGAATATATCACATCTTTCCGCGACGTGAAGAAGCTCATACACCGGGGTTGGCTATCTCATATCGCGACATGCGTTGATGCTGGTCACTTGTCTGGCAGCCGGCGCTGACTAGTGCTCGTTCATGGTTAATCTCTCTGTCGCTTACCTCCCTGTATCCCCACATGGCCGGAAGATCATGACCTGAACGCATCGATTTGCTCAGTATCACTCGATTTGGGAAGCCGGCGACATGTTTTTACGGAGGCAGTGCACGGGGGAATATCACTGGCCGGGCGGTGATACATACCTTCTCGTGGAGAAACACAACTACGCGTCAATTTAAAATGGTATGGCAACAGAGCCATTCTCCATGCGCGCCGATGTCTTGGCCCAGGCCGACATCCAGGTAACATTCGGCTGCATATGGCGAACGTGCGGCCTGCAATGCATTCCTGTTTCATGCTGACGGTCATCAATAAGTACTGTGTTGATCTCGACAAAGTATTCGCAAAGCGGCGGCGTAGACATCTTGTTCTACAGCTGTCTCAGCAAGACGCGCCGGCGCCTGACCTGACGGACACCCCTGTCCCGTCGGTTGTACATTCCATGTCGGGCGTGCAAACGAATGGCGGTGCTTCAACATTGCGTCTGTCGCAAGGATTGATGGCGCACCGAAGTTCAGCGACTTGACCGGTCTATAATTCAATTTGGCAAATCTTGCATGTTATGTCAGTTTCAAGTTGACGCGTTGCGTCGACGTACAGTACGTATATTTATGCAGGGCGAACAGCTTGTGTTATTGTGCAGTAACTATCAGGTTGCGCGTTATCGTTACATGTTCCCAAGGAATTACTAAAGAAATCTCCGTATCTCACCTGTGTTACATTTACTACTGGGCCAAATATGCGAGCCGGTTCTAGTTGTGTCGAGATCAGTGTGACAAAGACCTCGAGAAATTCTGACTTGAGCGACCAACTTAAATAAAATGTAAACAACAAGTCTGCTAGAACACAAAAAGTATCCTTCCAGGGGTCAATACTTTAATCGCGACCACAAAAAAAAGTGATTTAAACCCTCCAGACCCCCCTCCCCACTCGATGCCATCAATTTTTTATGGCCTGACCTCTTGCTTGACCCGCCGTCGGCGTTTTTGATCCTCCGGGGCGGGGTTGGCGCGTGATGACGTGTACCAGCCGCATCGAGGCGCCGCATGGCGTGCCTCACCGCGGAATTGTCCGGGCTCAAGTCCCGCATCGCGTATGCAGCGCGCAGGATGGCGCGCGAACATTGGTCTCAAGCTCCCGCGACTCGTGGTGCACAGGTATGTGTCATCACATGTGGATGGACAAAGCAAAATATCACAAGCAAGCAGTCAATCTTGACTAGTATATCGGTTTAGTACACGCGCTTGTCATAAGCATGAAAGAACCATTCGCGCGCGAAAGCTGGGTTCGACTCCCAGGTCGGGAGTCATTTTCCCCCATTTTTTGCAATATGTAAAAATGTGCAACTAATGTGTTGTGGCCATCGTCACGCGTCCAAATCCACTGAGAATGATGAATGATAAATCTGCGTGACGTGGCCCCAGCCGCATGCGGCGTGCGTCATGTCCGGGTCAATTCGCGTATTTGCAACAATGGACGCGCCGCCGCCGCACTGTCCGCGACGATTAACGTGCACAGGTGCGTGCCTAGAGGTGTGCCAACCAGCTTGGACGGTGCCCAAGTTTCTCGAGTCGAGGGGGAGCAGAGCGTCGAGAGATCGACGGCGTTGCTGAAATGGGCTCGAATGTCGCGATGTATCTGCAGCGCGATATGCGCGATTCCAAACCCCACAAACACGGGTCCGTCCATTAGAAGCTCAGCCAGAGCTGTACCCTGCATCTTCAACCGGGATTGAGCATTGGAATCCACTGAGATGAGGATAATCTCGTTGCAGGTGGCTAGTGCGAGCCTTTCGAGGCGTCCGTCGCTCGAAAGCTGTGTGGAGATTCCGATGTGAGGCAGCGCCTTGAGCTGCCTTGTCAAGTATGAAGCTTTTTCTACGGAGACGCCGGCGAGTGACGGAGATGTCGCGCCGCGCAAGGTGTACTGGCAGCAGATCCTGTGAAATCGACATTAGGGAGCTGAAAGAGTTGCCTCGAGGACGTCGACTCACAAATCATTGTGCTGGTCGGCACCGCGAAATGTCCAAATAAGTAGTATCGGTTTACGTATTATATCATATATGGAGCAGGGACGGTTTCTTCCTGAAGCTCACAGTCGAGACGCCTCGGGTTTACCAAGAAAGGAACGTATTCGGAATATATCGAGCTATGGCAGAGCGGAGGCTTCTCCATTTCGGCTGAATTCGTTCTATCTACTAGATGCCGACCAAGCCGAGTTTAGGTACTAGTGAGGGTGCCGCCGCTGTGGCACTCGAGAGTTCACTCGACGCAGGAAGCAGTGCGCTTGAGGTCCTGATGGCGGTATACATTAATGGGTACTACTAGTACTGTCGGATTATAGTAAACGAACATTTTTTTTACGCAAGCCAATATAGTGATATTCTGGCTTTCAAAATTAGCCCCACCGCAAGCTTTGGCAGGTTTTGCCAGTACTGGGCTTTAGTACGAGTATGATACATACTTGGCGGATTGGTCGCGGTTCGATTTCAAGTCGCAACCTCAGAATCGCACGCCATAACAGAGATACACAGCTGTCTGCCTCCTCCGTGAATTTTATTCACAGATAACTCTAGTACTCGAAAAAAAAAATTACACAATAAGTAAGTTTTGGTTTCCCGCGTGGGACCTTGCGCCGATGGCACCTTCATTTGTGAACCGAGGCACGGAACGCACGGAACACGAAAACAAAAGCAAACTGGTTCCAAAAAACAATCTTGTTAGAGTGAAGTATTGTAATCCAAAAACGGTGATTTAGGCTTTCAGCCTCCGCCATCCGGATGACGTCATAACTTGATCTCGACTTCGTGAGGTGTTGACAGTCATGCCAACGCTGGAACACGCAGTTGCTCGCATAACACTTGTCATAACATCATAAAGCGGGGTCGTGCACCGGTCCCGCCGGTCCGGTGGAAACGGCGGCAGTGTAAAATTCCATGTTGATTCCATAGCCCGTGTCAGCTGGAAGTTCAAAGTCTGAGCCACTCGTCGCAAGAATGGAATGACTCTCTCCGAGAGCCGTGAGCGCATGAGCTATATCCCATCTTTGTTCATGTAACCAGCTCACGGTTGGTGTCCGAAACAGGCGTTCGTTTGCTTCCATGTCTACCAGCTACATGAGCAAGCAGTCAAAAACGGCAAGAGTACCGTATATTTATCATTCCACGGCGCCGCACGCAAGAAGCTTCCGGAAGTGAAAAGAATCGTCAAGGAGGCGACTTTCTGGTTGCGCCACAGGTTGCGGCGCCCGAGCAAGAACAGCTAGTACTATTTAAGAGCTGTGAGGAAGCAGTGTGGGACCCGGCACCCACGCAGATGTCTATTCTCTATCCCCAGCTTCTCTCTCACGCTATCTCCTCGAGCATGCGCTTAAAAGTTGATGCTGCAGACCAGCTTGAAAGTGTGCACGTGCCCTGCCCGTGACCACCGCACATACAGATCAAGGCACCACTGATGCCGCCAAGCGACAGAAAATTCCTCGATCATGATCTGCTCTGCATGTCCTCTCATGTCATTCTGCAGCGGGCACATCCCACGCACGACTCGGCTCTCGTACGCGTCAGGTATGTGCAGTATGCTCTATGCAGAGCGCTTTCAAGGCGCTTCCAAGGGCTCTGGTGTGGACCCGAACCAATCGCGACCTAGGCGCGGCCTCACAGCGATACTCGACGCCATTGCATCTTTACTATGATAGGATAAAAAGGGATCTGACGCGTTCCGTAAAGAGCATGGGACTGGTCTTATTCAGCACATGCGGCGCCAAGGCTTCCCTGCCCGTTTTCAGCTTCATTCCCTTGTGCGGCCGCTCCTGCCGCGTGCAAGTCCCATGTGAGTGACGCCAACAGGACTCCAACTCACAACGGCCGTTAACGCTTTCGTCCCAGGCCGGCGGTTTGGCGCAGCGGCGTCTGACCCACGCCCATGGTTATTGCGTATCATAGGGTGGCTAGCCATGGGCATGGGTGGTTCTGCATGCAAGTGCCATGTGAGTGACGCCAAAAGGACTCCAACTCGCAACGGCTGCAATCACTTTCGTCCCAGGCCGGCGGCTTGGCGCAGCGGCGTCTGACCCACGCCCATGGTTATCGCATATTATAGGGTGGCCAGCCATGGGCATGGGTGGTTGCCGAGTCTGCATCCGTGGATTGGGGTTGCCTCGCGTGCATGGCGCGTCGCTTCCTGTGGTAAAACGGGCTTACAGTAATTATGCCCAACTTCGTCTTCGTCTTCGTACTCGCGCGCACTGGCATGCTTGAGATGTACACTGGCAGGCATGTCGTGCTGCACTGGCGAGTCTGAACGCCCCGATCGTTCGAAGGCTCCGTGTCCGCGTCCATTGACATCTCCTTGCTTCGTAGCGAGCCTGCAGCTGAACCCTCCAATCGCGCGCGTATCTTGCGTGCCTCGAGTGCCATTGGCCACTGCACTTCGGCTTGCAGTTTATTTAGCGCGCGTCCGACACGGCGGCGCCTTCATGCCTGCTGTGTGGTATGTCTGCCAGTGAGTCCCGCACTGCATATATTTATTCTGTCCCTGGCCGTTCATCTTTCCAAGGTTCTATACTCTGGAATCACGCACAGGTCCAGGGCAGTCATCATGTCTGCATGATATGAGTGTAGGGCGGAGTAGTTGCGTCGGTTAACAAGAGATGGATAGGCCAATAATGACGTCGAACGTTCGACATGGCCCCATATTCGATGGCCCGGGATCGACGTCGGTCCCAAGGGGGTTCGGGCTGGTCAAACCGGCACAGAGGGCAGGTAGGTAGGTTGGGCCGTCAGGCCGGAAAAAAAAAATATGGACATCTCAGTAAGTAGCTTGGACTTGGTGCAAAGTGGCCCTCACCGACTCCTTGAGTTCCAAAACTTGGTCCCGAGCATCCCAGATCAGTGCTCCCGGCAAGGCTCCTAGTGGGTGACTGTATTTGGCAAGGCTCTAACTGATCAGGTGCAGATACTTAGTAAATTGAAGGCTTGGGGACCTACTATCACAGTGTCTTTGCGGCATCTCAGCAGCGCTGCTGAATCCAGCAATGGCTGGGGACATTCAAGTTGCTTGGGGCAAAATAATAGGCTGTGAAACAACAGAGTGGTATGTGAGACCTGCACTCAGGCTCGGGGAGCTAAGTAGGAACTAGTGCATGCTTGATCTACATTGTAAAAATTGCTGTACTGTAGCTCTGACACTTGCTCAAGTATCCTATTACTGTTTGCTTCTGCCGCCCAGTTTGTAGCCGTAGTTCTGGCACTTTTCGACGTCCTGATGGCTCTCACGTGCAGATCAATTATTATATATGGAGCGTGGGAATGCTTACGTGGTAGGTAGGTTCAGCCAAAAGGCCGGAAAAAAAAAATACGGCCTAAGTGGGTTTTTTTCAGGGCTCGAACCCCCTTGGTCGGTCCCAGTGTTAAGCGGAAGCAAAGCGCTCGGGATGCGGACCTTGAGCGTGGCAAACTGCCCGAGTAGTTCACGCCCACTGCCACTGGGAGTGTGACGATTCTCTTGGCGTGCCGCCTATAACGAAGGGGAAACTTGAACGGACTCGGAGGTTACGATGCGCCGGCGGAGGCCGGGGTACTAGTAGCACCGCGGAACATTGGAGCTCCCTGCCAGGCTTCTCATGCGGCCCTGCGTGGAACAACACAAGATATTATCAAATTCGCGCCGGCGTCACGGTGCGGCAGTGAGGGAAGGACACGCACAGTCTGAAGCGTCTGATCTTCCCGTCGCCCGGGCCTGTCACGCAACTTGAACACAGTGGCCTTGCAGCGGGCCCCGGGCCAGCGGCGAGTGTAAGGTGGATCCGTGCGCGTAAGTGAGCAGAAATAGTCTAAAAATTACATAAAAGTAGTACAGGCAGAAGGGGGCACACCAGCAAAAGCAGAAACTCCCGTCGGCGCTGCCGAAACCATTGCCAATACTTTCCTGGCTTACCCGATATGGTTTATCTCATCTTATCGATTTACCCGATATGGTGTTTCACAGATCACGTGTTGATGGGCCATCGAAATTGCATGGGCAGCGATGGCCGCGGCGGCTGTCGGCTCCCTCCCTACTAGCTAGGCTGACGTAACGCCCGACCCCTTGACATGGCTTCTGACGCCAGCCAACTTACCGCGCTCTGGCCGCTCATCCGCTCCCCGCTTGATTATCAGTTTGATGTGATAGTGCGGCATGTGCCAATCGGCACCGCTTAGCAATGAAGGCAGTGCCATCACTGATGGCTTGCCGAAATGTCAGCCGATGGCCGAGAGTCAAGTTCGGAGTTCCGTCTCGATCCTATCGTATTCATTTTTTGTTAGGAGGC